TTACCTCAAACTAGAATGTGACGTGGCGATTCACTCTGCCACTGAATTGCTGCATCGTAGGAGTTAGAAGAGAGAGGTGATCCGGTGGCCCTTCCCTAGTAAAATGTCATGATCTCATGGCACGGACATTTGTTAGTTGATAAGGATGTATTGATACTATAATTTGTAAACCGATTTAGTTATATGCGTTCAAAATGCCCTATCAAACAAAAACCGAACTTGCCTCATATAACCTCCCAGGAGGTTACACACATGTGCTACTAAAAATGATACAATGTTGATGCACATTGTCATTCTTTGCCAAGGCCTCCAAGATTATGTTCTCATTTGCGATTTCAATTCATTTTCCCCATTACAAATCAAGTTTAAGGCATGGATTTAGCACTTGGTGGCTTGACCTCAGTTAAGTGAATGCGGGGGCCAGGCATCACCGTTTTCGTGTGATATGTAGAATAACAGAGATTGTAGAATAACAGAGATTGAATGGAAAACACCACACACCCAACGTGAGGGGGTGACCTTGATATATATAGCCAATACATGGCAGGTTACATGCAATACATGGCAGGTGCTAATCATACTAAATAGACTTGCCTAATATACACTTTCCTAATGTACATATCTATCAGCCGCCCTCGATTGAGCGTCAGATTCCGGATGCACTGATCGGACGAAAAATCCTCAAATAGTGAATCGGTGACCCCTTTGTCATGATATATCAGTGATGATACTTGGACGGCACATGGAGAACGCGAACCTCGCCGAGAGCCACCTTCTCACGGACGAAATGGATGTCGATCTCTATGTGCTTGAAATACGGCGGTGGTGGATCGGGTTGGTCATCATATAGGCGGTACGACGTTGTCACAGTAGACAACTGTGGCGACCTTCAATGGAACGTGAAGTTCCTGAAGAAGCTGTCGAAGCCAACAGCACTCTGCGACCACGTGACCAACAGCTCGGTACTCGGCCTCCGTGACCGGACCGGACACCGTGGTTTTTGCCGTTTGGACGACCAGACACCAAGTCGTCGCCGAGGAAGACGCGAAGCTTTGAAGTGGAGCGGCGGGAGTCGGGGCACCCCGCCCGATCGGCGTCGGAGTAGGCAATCAACTTGTCGATAGGCCCGATCATCGATGTGGAGGCGGTCGACGGTGTGCCCTTCACATACCGAAGTATGCGCTTGATCGGCCGCAAGGTGAGCTTCGCGCGGATCATGCATGAAGAGGCACACCGCCGCACAACGACGCCTGGTCGGGGGCGAGTGGCGTCTGGCAATCTTGAAGTGAGCCGGCGAGACTCCGGTACGTGGCGGGGTCAGCGACGGGAGCGCCCTTCGTGGCAGAGAGCTTGGCACGGGAGTCGACAGGCGTCGATGTCGAGTGACATTCGGCCATGCCCGCCTTCTGAAGAAGATCCACCGCGTACTGCCTTTGGCTGAGGAAGAGCCCGTTGGAGGAGCGAGTGACGGAGATCCCCAGGAAATGATGGAGCTCCCCAAGGTCCGTCATGGCGATCTCAGAGTGAAGGCGACCGATGATGCGGCGGAGCAGAGCATCCGAGGAAGCCGTGAGGACGATGTCGTCGACGTACAGCAGCAAGTAGGCACTGGCACCGCCCTCAGTGTAGACGAAGAGGGAGGTGTCGGTGGCGGCAAGCAACGGCCAAGCCTATCGTCGACGTGGCGGTTACCGGTGCCTGCGCCGCTGGGCCTGCTTGAGGCCGTAGAGGGAGCGCTGAAGAAGACAGACGGCGTCGGGACGCGCCGGGTTGACGAAGCCGGGGGGCTGCTGACAGTAGACCGTCTCGTGCAGGTGACCGTGAAGAAAGGCATTCTTCACGTCCACCGTGGATGGGCCATTGACGAGAAGCGGCGATGCCGAGGACGACCCGAATGGTGGCAGGCTTGACGACGGGGCTGAATGTCTCGTCGTAGTCGATGTCGTGGTATTTGGGTGAAGCCGCGAACAACCCAAATGAGACTTGTGACGAGCCAGGTGCCATCGGAGTGGAACTTGTGCCGAAAGATCCACTTGCTCGCCACCACGCTGGCACGGGGGCGGGAAACGAAGTCGCCACGTGTCGTTGTCGACGAGAGCCTTGTACTCCTTAGCCATGGCCGCTGCGCCACTAGGGGTCGGCAAGCAAAGCCCCCTCTGTAGTCATGGGAATGGGTGAGGCAAAGGTGGGCGGTGGCGGCGTGAGCGAGCGATGGGAAGCCGTAACGATCAACGAGCTTCAGCCGAGCTTTGTCTCGAGGCGCGCGAGGTCGGCTCGAGGTAGGAGGTGGCGGAGAGGCCGCCACTGGCGGAGCAGAGAGCGGCTGTTTGCGGGAGCAATGAAGCGCCGTGGGGCACCTCCATGATTGGTGCAGAGCGGTGGTGAGAGAGCGGCTCAGCAAGCCGGTGGCAGGAGCACCAAGACGCCGCGAACGTAGACCCGTAGAGGTGGACCGGTCGGGAGCAGGAGCAGCCGTGCTGGGAGGAAGGACCGGCCAATCAGAGGATGGCGGGGTCTCTCGTGAGCTCCTCCAGTTGAGCTCGGCGTCGCGGGCCGCCGGTGATCGGGCGATTTGAGCGACTGACCAGGAGGGGCACCATGGTGGCGGTGTGGTGCTTGGCGTGGCGGCAGACTGGAAGAAGAAAATCTAGAGAGCTTGGGGGCTCAGTGGTGGGGTCGATCTTTGAACGGAAAGTGAGTCTCGTCGAAGACAATATCTTGGGAGATGATAATCCGTCTAGTTGTGAGGTCGAGACATCGATAACCCTTGTGAGAGGAGGGTATATCGAGAAAGACACAGCCGTGGAGCGAGGGGCGACTTGTGTTTGGAAGTGGCGGTGAGGTTGGGATAGCAGAGGCAGGCAAGACTCAAGAATAGCGTAGTCTGGGGACTGCTTGAAGAGTTGCTCATAGGGAACTCTATGGTGAATGGCTGAGCGGGCGCTGTTGAGGAGATATGTGGTCTGTAGCTAGCGCCTCTGCCCAATATTTGGGTGGCATGTGGGCGTGGATGAGCAGCGTGCGACATATGTTGTTCAGAGAACGGATGATACGTTCAGCCTTGCCGTTTTGAGGGGAGGTGTAAGGGCAGGAGAGGCGTAAGTGAATGCCGTTAGAGGCGAAGAAGGTGGCGAGGGCATTGTTGACGAATTCAGTGCCATTGTCGGCCTGAACAGCCTTGATAGGAAGGTTGAACTGTGTGTGGACGAAAGCGCAGAACTGAGTGATGTGAGTAGCTACCTCGGACTTGTGGACTAGGGGAAAGGTCCAGCAAAAGTGGGTGAAGTCATCGAGGATGACAAGGTAGTACTGTGCACCAGAGATACTAGCGACCGGGGATGTCCAAACATCACAGTGTATAAGCTCAAAAGGTAAAGAGGAAACTGAACTGGAATTGCCAAAAGGCAGCCGCACATGCTTGCCAAGTTGACATGAGTGACATAGAGTATGAGCTGATTTATTACAGGAAATGGAATTATTTTGTCTAAGCAAATGTAGGGCAGCAGCTCCTGGATGACCAAGACGATGATGCCATAGGTCGGTGGAGGTGGCGAGGTTGGCTTGTGGCGTGGCAGGGACGGTGTAGAGGCCGTCGGAGCTATTGGAGCGAAGAATCACGCGTCTGGTCTGCAGGTCCTTAACAGAAAAACCAAATGCGTCAAATTCGATAGTGCAATTGTTGTCACGAGTGAATTGACGAACTGAAAGTAAGTTGCGCACTAGAGAGGGGACAACTAGAACATTGCGGTTTAAAAAGGAGATGCATGGCACGGTAATGTGGAGTTGCCGGAGCAAGATCTGAGGAAGATGATGACCCACGCCAACAAGTGATGGATGGGGTAGAAGAGGGTTGACGAGAGAGAGTATACCATCCGAGTTGTGCATGTGGGAGGTGGCGCCGGAGTCCATGACCCAGCCGGAGTTCTGGAGCGCCATCTGGTTCAAGGCGGCGATGAGGCCAGCCTGATCCCACAGTGGAGTGGATGGAGCTGGTGGAGGGGGAGCGAAGACGGTGTGGGCCTGCGGACTGGCACCCATGATGCCCCGGCGCGCGCCTACTGGTCACCGTGAGGGGGGGGCTACGCCGGGCTGTTGCCCTGCCGCCACCATTCTTTGCTGGAGGAGAACGCCGCCTGGAAGGCCCATGGGTTGTAGCAGAACCAGGGGCCCCATGGGGTGTTGCCCCTTGTTGTCCATCGCGCCGCTGCTGCTTGCCCGGCCAGCCGTTGCCTTGCCAAGGCGCCGGCCGCCTGCTTTGTTGCCTTGCTTGCCTTTCTTGCCGCCCCAGAGCCCTTGGGAGCGGCGGCCGCGGCACACAGAGGAGGAGGGCGGCACCTGAGAAGTGCGAGTGGAGCCAGAGGCGGCCACCATGGCAGATGCAGCCGTGGTCTTCTCGTCGTTGGCGAGGCGCAGCTCTTTGAGGAGAGCATTTCTCGCGCCCTGGAGAAGGAAGCATTTCTGGGAGTTGGCGATGTCGTCGGCGATGGCGATGTAAGCGCTGGTTGAGGCCGTGTAGGAGGCCGAGGACGAGTTGGGAGTCCTCGATGGTGTGGCCGACGTCCCGAAGAGCGGCGGCCTTGATCTTGAGGCGCCTGGCAAGATTTCGTCAATCGTCGAGTCACCCCTGTTTCAAGGAGTGAAACTCCTCAAGCAGGAAGACGGCCCGGGGCGCGCGGTTGGAGCGGAAGAGGCCCTCAATCGCCACCCACAACTCGCGGGCGGACTGGTTCTCGTCGGTGATGGCAAGATCAAGAACCGAGTCGTCGACGGTGTTGAGGATCCAGCCGCGGACAGTGCACTCGGCAATGTCCCACGTTGGATCATCAGCCGGAGGAGCTGGCCCGTCGATGTGGGGGCGAAGGCTGAATTTCCCACACAAGGCCTTGAAGAACGAAGCCCACTTGGTGAAGTTGGGATTCTTCATCTCCAGGGTCACCGGAATGTGAGTCTTCACGTTCACGGCGGTGTAGGGGTGGACGACGACGGCCTGCGGCGTGTTGATGGTGCAGCAGCGGCTGCGGCAGCAGCGGCTGCGGCAGCAGCAGCGGCAGCGGCTGCGGCCGAGGCATCGGCGTTGGGAGACATCTCGCCACAGGGAGGAGGAGCGCCCAGGAGAGAGGTGGGGAGGAAGGAGGCGGAAGCAGAAGGTCCGGGATCTAATTGATCTCGGTCTCTGATACCATGTAGAATAACAGAGATTGTAGAATAACAGAGATTGAATGGAAAACACCACACACCCAACGTGGGGGGGTGACCTTGATATATATAGCCAATACATGGCAGGTTACATGCAATACATGGCAGGTGCTAATCATACTAAATATAGACTTGCCTAATATACACTTTCCTAATGTACATATCTATCATGATAGAGTAACAAACCATGCAGCGCTCGCATGTGTAGCTGGAGGGGCTGATGATGTGCTAGCGAACTTTGAGACCCAAGGGGTAGTACAGGGCTACAGGCATTGTAAAACTGACTACAGATGTAGCAAATTTTAGTTAGATCTGGATTATTTGTGAGTTGTGACTCATGAATATGATAAATTTAGCCCTTTCATAATCCATCCACTTGGAATAATGTTTGCCCTTTTGTGTTTTAATATTCGAATTTTTTTTAAGGAGCACCTGACTACCTTTCACTAGAAGAATCTGTATAGGAAGAAGCATGTTACGGTTAGTCGGTGAATATTTTTTCTTTCTCAAATATGCAGGAGAACTGCATACCATTGCATTAAGAAGAAGAATTTAAATATTTACAATAACCCCACACACCAAACAAACTTCAGGTTGCATTCTCCGCGGAGACAAAAGATAAACCCGACCAAAGCTAGCTAAATGACCTTATGTGGCAGCAACCTCAAGTTGCACCGAACCCCAGCTCCTGCTAAACACCAAAAGGTGTCCTTCCTTAGTTATCTGTCTGAGGATTGACTGCATGTCTGCTTGCTTATTTGCTCCACATGTATTGTAGCAGAAAACTGTGGATTGCTTTTATGGATTTGAATGTTTTGAGATCTTCCATGTGGGTACATCCCTTCTAATTTAAGAGCCCTTGGCTATAAATTGGGGGAAGGAGAGCAGCTCATGTTAACTGTTTATAAATTCAGTCTACAGTCATGCTTCTGATAGGGTCACCACACTGCCGACATGCATAGTCATGTCCAGATGGAGATGGAGGCCTCCAATTGCATCAGCATATATGCAATAATGATTTTAAAAAAGGGAACAAATTTAAAACCATATGTTTGTTTTTTTGGCACCACAGTGTTTGTTTATATTATTACTAAATTAAACAGTGTTGTCTTTTTTTCTTGAAAACGTAGGAGAGCTGCACTTCATTATATTAAGAAGAAAATGGGACAAGAACACAGTTACAACACACACCACAAACACCACGCTTAATTAAACGGTGTTGTCATTGCGTACCACCTTTCCTCTGCAGTTATCGTGTCTTTGCCAAATCTTTAGCATGGCCTGTCTGCAGGGATTTTTCTTTTTAAAAGAGCAGTATTAATCTCATAAGGTCTAATTGTATGATGCTGCATGGTTTAGTATTATCAATCATCAGTAACGAAATAAAATAGAGGAATATCTAGTGAAAACCCATGTATTATGTGACCTGTATATAACTTCTTACCATGGCATATGGTCAAGTTATCCATTTTTCTTAGTCTAAAATTTGAAAGCAGTGAAAGAGTTCTTTTGGTTCTTGTACTAATTTCTGACCTCTGTTTTGCACTTACCTTTCCCCAAACTGCAGCATCCTATCTTCTAGATGCTCAAAGTGGAATGAGTGTGTCCCCTAGAGTTCCTGCCCAGGAGATGAAAGAGTATGGTTCATCAGATATTCCTTGTCCAGCATATTAGTTTATTCTTCTTCGTTTTCGGCAGATTGAATATTCTTAGAATATATAATGTGATTGTGCTATTTGAAAGAGTTAATGTCACGATTACTTTCTGCAGAAGCCAAGAAGTTAAAGAAGCACTGAGAGCACAGATGGAAGTGCAACGAAGACTGCATGAACAAGTGGAGGTAATTCTGATTGTTTGTTCTATTATGCTCTTGAATTAGTTTCCTGAGTTCTGTAAAGCAGGAAAATGGGAACTCTTGTATTTCTGCAGTAGTTTTGCTTTTGACCATTCATTGAGTTAAGAAGTGAAGCTTGGACTAGAATTGGTTGATATATCCTTTATATGTGAATGATGCAGAATCCTTAAGGTTCACTTATCCATATATTCACTGAAACTAGTGAGCTGCATTTGAGTTCTAGTTGAAAGGACAGTCTCTTTAATGGAATGGGTCAATTCTTCTGAAGGAATTATGAATCCACCAGCGAAATTTTCCATAATCTGTGTGTTCTTGCTTGAAAGTAGTATTATTAAAGGGTGCTTTCAGGTTTGCAAAAGTGTGATGATTAAATGGTTTCTTAATAAAAGTCAAAACAAAATCTCAGGAAACAAATGATTAGTTTAGGGGCTGAGCTTAACTGAAACATTGTAGACAACAGGACCTTCAGGATATCTGCTCTCTAATGGAGCATATCCGAACCCAATGCGGGATGCATGTCAAGGGCGTCGGCACCCAGAGACGCCGGACCGCGACTACGTAGCTCGTAGTCGCGCTCCAGGCTCACCGCGAGGTTTTCCCCCTCTGCCGGTGGCTTGCTTAGGGAAGAAGAAGATAGATTAGATAGGTAATATCTTGCTTGCTTTCCCTTGATGGATTACAAGGACTCTTATAGGCTATAGCCTTGACAAACTCTAACAATTCATTCCTAAATTATAGGATCTCTTTCCTTTATTCTAGACACTTTCTAAACCGACGCCTGGCTGGCGCCTGCCGTGGTGACCGCGGCGGCCATGTTGCCCTGGCGCGCTGCTGCCCGCCTGGCATCCCGGGCCCTTCTGGCATATGTGCGTCCCCACATGACAATGCATCTATTTATAACAGTCACAACAGTTTGTGCTTGTGAAGAAATTTGCAGTGCCAACTTGAACAGCTGCATACAAAGGCGTGCTCATTACAATCCTTGGCTGGTTTTACTATTACCAGGTCCAAAAGCGTGTGCAGATCAGAATGGAAGCGCTTCAAAAGTACATCGACAGTATCCTAGCGAGCGCATGCAAGATAGTCACTGAACAGTTCGCTTCAAGTGGCTTCAGTATCTCTGACCCTGATCTCCCCGAGATATCCCCTGGAGGGTTCATGTGTGGCCCCACGGACACGTTGAGCTCCTCGGTGTTCAACCAGCTTTCTGTGAGCTCCATCGACTCGCACAGTCCAGGAGGCAAACCTTCTCCATCAGGCATGGAATGTCCGCCACTGCTCCTCCAGAAGTCGCCTGAGCTCAAGCGGAGGTCCTCTTGAACTGTGACAGCAAATTCTGAGGGTGGTGATGGCTGTCTTTGGTAGTGATGTGCAATATGGTGGTGACAAGGGAAATGGTGGTCCAGTCTTGTGGTAGCTGACTTTCTCCAGGTAGCAGGATGTGCTGTGTTTGTCATGGGATTATGATTCTAGCATCCTTAGCACACTTGAAATATTGACTCGTGTCCTACTGTCGTTTGTGTTAATCCATGTATGCACAATGATTCATGTTGGGACATGTTAACAGCAGATGTTTCAAGCTTCGTATTTGTCGCAATTATCCATGCAGGCTCCCAACAATTCCTGCAATTTAACTTAAAGACTATTTCGCTCTGACTCTGAAAGATTCATACTGACTTTGTAATCTACAAATTGCTAGCTGCAACATAGCAAACTGCTTGCACGTCCTTTCTTTCTGAATGAACTTAGTTTATTGAAACTTTGGACTATATTTTCTTTTCTTCTTTTGAAAGATTGAACTACTTATTCAGCACAAGATACGCCAATTCAATAAGAAAAATAACATCTTTTTAATTGAAAAAATAATGAAATTTAGAATTTTCCATGTTGAACATTTTCAGAGAAACTGTCACAATAACTTTCAAAGTCAATTGAAATGATGGGATAGCTTGAGAATGCTTATGCCAGATCACTGGTGCATAACATCGACGCATGAAACAGAACTCCAGCAGCTAGTTTTAATGCCTCTAATAATTTGAAGTTGTTAATGACGTCAAATCTTCAACTCTGCCTTCTCACAATGTTCCTAAGTTTTTGAAAATCCCTGGCCTACTGTCGGATGATTTTTCATCCAAAGAATTTTGATGATTGATTAATCAACATTTAATTTGCTCCAAATTTCATTTCCCAGCATATATTTGCAGGATCATGCCAAATGCCATATACCACCACTGAACTCAAAACGGTAGGATCAGTACGTTCACAAGTAATACATGTCACTTTTGTGGGATGTCACTGTCGTAATCTTAACACTAACCCCAATTTGCCATGGCCAATTAAGCGGCTCCACCGCACAACAAGGGTTCCAAGGGGAAAAGAACATGGCTCGCATCAGTGACTTGTCCAAAGGGCTGAAAGCGAATATTCGCAGCATCGTCCTGAAGATGCTCCCAATACAAGCATCCAAAACCAGAGCAAAATGCAAATACAATAAGCCTTGGGTTGCTGTCGACAACGACCAGCTCGGTTCCAACTAGTTGTACACTGTATTAAGAGTAGTTTACTATCTCAAGATGAAATCAAGGCCTGGCACTGACAGCAGATGTGATAGTCCCAACAAGAGGATGGTAATTCTGAGAAAAAGGCGTGTGCTTGGACGCAGTACCTGTCGTCGCCTGGGCATAACGCTGCAGTTGATGCCATATGGTTTGGTTAATGACGTCTAGGTTCATGGAGGCCTCTACTAATAACAAGAGTCCAGGTTCGTAGACGGCTAATGATTTTGCTTTGTTGTGGGCGTGGATAGCTGTAATGTACTACCGGTACTGGTGTTTCTTTACATTATCAATCATTTGCATTGTATACTACTGTCATGTTCGTTTGAGCTTATTCAGAACTACTTCTTAGCTATGGAACATTGCTTTTCTCTCATAATATTTCGCTATATTTTCATTGTTTTCTCCTATCATGTTCAAGTAGACACCTAGTAGGGTGTATTTGGATGACTACCACAGATTGTTAAATCTCTTACCAAGTTTTGTGTCATAGTGCGGCGAACAAATTGCTTGCCATATCTTAGGCAAAATTTGGCAAGGTTTTAAGCCTATAACATATGGGTTTGCAGTTTGAAAGTATATGACATGATCAAACTGCGGAAACTACTGCCCTAGAAAATCTAGTAAAGTACGGCAAATCGTGGTAATGATGAATCAAACAATTTAAGTTAATGGCCACATGCCCATATCTATAGGGAGATACACTTGGTAACTAAATTTTTACAAAACAAGTTAAGCATCCATGCAAAGACAGACAGACAAATCACGCTAACTTTTGACTCCCATAAAAAAGTACCAGCATAAAACACATGGTATCAGCTACCAAAGTTATCCTCGATCCCCCTCCTCTGAACGAATGGATCTAATAAAGCCTCATTGTTGATAATACTGTTGATTTTCTTTTCGCTCACAAACTCAAATAAAAGTTGTTCTATTTCGCCATTCTTGTGGTCCGAATTCAACAATTCAAGCGTGTGTGGATTTTTTTGTCCTTTTTTGCCAGGAACGATGATATATATAAACATCAAAACTAAAAGTGCCGCGGAAAAAGCACCCGTTCCCATTGAAAAAGCATCCCCGCCTTCAAAACTAAATCCAAATTTCGTCAAAATATAAATATAATTCTAGTGAGAATAACCTGTTTGGCCCAACCCTAAAGTAGGCTTTGGGTGTGTGAATGTTACTGGCACGGTGGACGTTTTTGTTTGTTTGGTCTAATCTATGTACAAACAGTGTCATCATAGTGACGCCGTCTTCCTTCCTTGTGCTTATAAACCAAAGCGATGGTCAGGTGGGATATATATTCGCCAACAAACTCATTTCCCGTCTCCACTTTGTTCCTCCTCTCTCCTCTCGCCTTCCTTTCTTCCTCCACCGCCTCCTCCCCCAACTCCGTCCCCCATTTACCGTCAGCGGGCGGCGCAACCGCCGGCGACGGGGCCCGCGTCGAGCCAGGCCGCCCTCCAGGCCCGTCCTCCCTCGTCGGGAGGCGTCGCCGTTGCCCCGCCCTCTGGACTGGCGCGGCGTGGAGGGGACGGACAACTGGAGATCCGCCCGTCTCTGCTTGGATTGCGTCCTTCTCTCGCCGGTAAGCCAGCCACCCTGCCTCGTTCATACAGTATTCCACGGATTCCCTTGCTTCGTGTGCCAGGTCGCTGGTTGGTTTTATTAGTTCCCGACCAAATCCAAATCTTCATCTCTCTCTGTCTCGATTCCGTTAGCTTTCATACGGTTTCCGCGTGGTCACTGGTAATCTAGTCTATCCTAACATCCAAACACGGCCCGATTAGCCTAGTTCCCTATTCTCCCTTGCTCAGCACTCGCAAGAGCGATTGGTCGATCTCATTTCACGCCACACCATAGGACTTGGCATCAGCCCCAAAATTGGTGTTGAAGTTTGATTTCCAATTTAATTATGTTTTTTTTTGCTTAAACAAATTGGGGACTTCAGCTGAAGGAATCATTTAGTTAGTGCCCCTCTTTTTTAAAAAAAAAAAATAACAATTTCATGCCCCTCTTTAGTACTACCGTACCTGCATAACTGTAAATGGAGAATAGTAGCAATTGACGGTCACTGCTTGTGTCTGACTAATCTACTGTTAGATATCGGCTGTACCTTTTTTTTTGTGAGAATAGATATCGGATGTACCTGCGTATTTATGTTTTTCCTTTTAGGGTGGGATTAGTCTCCTCTCAATTACTTTGCTCCACGTGAAAGTTGTATCTCTGTTACTCCTACTTCTGATTGCCATGTCTTAATGAGGAGCATATGCCATACATGTCTTGAACTTTTATCTTTCTCACAAGATGGATACAAAAGCGATAGTTTTGTGCCATCTGCTCTATGTTTTCTTTACTTGTGCAGTTGTGCATAACTTTATAGCACTGGAAAGAATTCTTTTTTGTCACCATAAATGAAAGTGACCCTTTTCTTTAAATATTATCTAACATTTGGCTCTTCATGTATCTCTGTTTCTTCTCCCTGCAGAGGGTATGAGCAATGTACTCACCAAAACCAGAATCTAGTTTTGGCCCCAATCCCAACTCAGGCACACAGCAGCAACAAATGGAATTACCTGGAGCCAACGTGGGTCCTACTAATGGAGCAAATAACAATACCAACATGGCTGCGAGGCAACGCTTACGCTGGACAAATGAACTGCATGAAAGATTTGTTGAGGCTGTTACTCAACTTGGTGGTCCTGATAGTATGTGCTCATACTACTGCTCTTCTGCATCCAGTTCTTTAATTTGATTTTACTGAACATTTAAGCAGGATTTTATTCTTGTATAATTATACTTCTCCCTCTCTCTCTCTCTCTCTCTCTAGATGTCATGGACTTATATTCTATCAAACAAACTTTCTTTTTGAATACTCCCTCTGTTTTTTTACATGTCGTATTAGGTTTGTCCTAAGTCAAACATTTGTATCTTTCACCATTGATTTCAAAAAAAAATGTAGGTTCATGACATAAGATTTATGTCCTATGAGAAATACTTTCATAATATATAATTTATATGCTGTGAAACTATTAGGATTTTTTTTGAAATAGATGGTCAAAGATAGTAATGTTTGGCTTAGGACAACTAAAGTGACATGTAAATAAGAACAGAGGGAGTATTATGAAAATATGATTGCTCTGTGGGGGAATAAGATGTACGCGATTCTAAACTTCAATACAAATGTGGATGAGTTGCAAAAGCTACCAATCTAAGATGCCTTAGCCTTGGGGATTTATGAGTTGCCCACTGAGAACCCACTTTGGAGTTAGCTACAAGAACTAGGATCTGAGCCCTCTATTACTTGGTGTTGAATTTGTTATATTTTTCATAGGGATGCAATCTGCTTGAAGTTTTGGTTCATCAATTTCAGATATTCTTTTTGGGCCCAATTCTTGTCAAACTCGTCATAAATGCTATTTTTCATGAATGGAATTAGTTGACCTATCCATAAAGAAGCAAAATTTGCAACTTAGTTTGGTAGGAATTTTGATGCCAAAGAAAACCTACATGTTTTTATGTGTGTTATTGTTCTACTTATCTGGGCTTATGGCCCTTTGAATTTTACTTGTACTATGTGGACATGTAATTTTCTGCATCTGCTAACACTTAGTTGATCAAATAAAACAGGAGCCACTCCAAAAGGAGTTCTAAGAATTATGGGTGTACAAGGATTAACAATATACCATGTAAAAAGTCACTTGCAGGTATATTTTTTTCAGTGTGACACTTGCCTTTTAACAGTTGTTATTTGTCACTTTCACTGTTTACTTCTTTAACTCCTCCGTTCATGTTTCAGAAATACAGGCTAGCAAAGTATATTCCTGATGCTTCAACTGATGGTAGGTGTCTAAATTCAGCACCATATGTGTGATACTACAGTATTGTTTTAGTTCTTCCTAATTTGTATCTCATGTAGGTAACAAGGACGATAACAAAGACCCAGGGGATTTGCTTGCCGGACTTGAGGGTTCCTCGTATGAACACATAATTCTAATTCCTTTTAATTTTACTGAAGAAGGACATAATTCAAAATCTAGTTACCTATTCCCTTCTGAGTCATTTTTAGTGGAATTTTACTGGCCTAGTGGCATGTCATAAGATGGAAGTATGATAATCTATGCTAGATTTTATAATTTACTAAGAAAAATACATGTACTATACTGAATGCACATGACTTTATGTGATTAGTTAGATGTGAACATATTGAAATTGTGTTACTGTTAGAACAATAATGTTGAAACTGTAATTAGTTAGGTGTGAACATATTGAAATTGTAGTCGCTCCTATTTTAGAGTGATTTCTGCAAAAAATGAAATTGACTAGTTTATTGCATCCAGATGTTACTTTCATCGCATCACAAAAAATGTTGATTCCATCTCCTCATTAGTTTGACGTTTAATATCGTAAGGTGCATAACTGTTAGACAGGATATACAGAAAGGTCAAAATAACTTCAAAACTGAACAATAACATTTTTTATTTCTTCTAATGAGAATAGTTTTTCCATTTTAGTCCCTTTTATTTCTTTTATACTAGATATCTTTTTTACGTAAGGACCTTCCATCATACAAGTTTTTGTTCACAGTGGATTGCCGATATCTGAAGCCCTCAAGCTGCAGATGGAGGTCCAAAAGCGGCTGCATCAACAGTTAGAAGTAAGTCTTTCCTGGATGTACTACCCTTTAGCTTTTGTCGTCTTCATAATGTGTAGATCTGAGACACATCCAAGGATACAGAATTTCTTCGAAAGGAATTTAGCACTTCCACGTAATAATTCCACTAAAGGGGACCCTATTACCGGAATAGCTTTGGGTACACCTGTAACAATTTTGACTGCCCAATAACCAATTTGATCCCAAGGCAAAGAATAACCAGTTACACCAAATGATGCAGTCAATACAGCCAAAACCACGCCTGTGACCCAAGTTAATTCACGGGGTTTTTTTAATCCACCTGTGAGATATTGTGGTACCTTCTAAAATGTTCACTTAGGGGTAGGCGGTAGGCCCATAGTTGCGAACTGCAACTGAGCCTCTTTTGTTATTAAATGTTTGTACTAGAATCTTTTTTGTAGCTATCCTCTTCCACAGTATCTAAGATAGGAAAATCCTGCACTAAATGAATTGTGCAACCAGTTTCGAATGTTGTTGTTTTCTCATATAGCTGGTCTTGTTTTTGTGCTGCTAAAATAGTAAAATCGTTTTCATCAACTTAGGCCGTGTTTGGCTCAGCTCTCCGGTGCTCCGGCTCCTCCATGCAGCGACTGTGCAACCCTGTAGGTCACTGTAGCAGCGGGTAAAAAAACAGCTCCGGCTCCCACACAAATAAACGTGGATTGAGAAGGAGCTGCCGGAGCTATGTTTGTGGTGCTCCGCTACAGTACCCACAGTGCAGATTCAGAGCCGGCGCGAGCTCCACCAAACGCGCCCTTATTTGCTAGTGAACAAAAATCAAGTTGTTCTTAATATTTGTGACCTCAATGGTTCTATTCTATTATTAGTAGCTGCAAGTCTGCAATAGACGTACTGTTCACATTTTAAGTTATATTCTTATTTGTGTTACCAAATTTGCAAAGTTAATTGTTTGAACAATTAGATACTTAGATTCAACAGTGGACTTATAATGCCATTTGCACATTTTCTTTAGGTACAAAGGCAGCTGCAGTTGCGAATTGAGGCTCAGGGAAAGTACCTCCAGAAGATCATTGAAGAGCAGCAGCGCTTAACTGGTGTGAAATCTGAAACTCCTGCTGGAGGTGCTTCTGTCACAGTATCAAGTGATCAATTCCCAGACTCCGAGCGGACTGAGCCCTCGACTCCTGCACCAACATCCGAGTCTCCAACTCAAGTTGGCGCTTCCAATAGGGACCCTGGAGATCGAACTGAAGGAACCAAGAGCACCTGTCATGGTGATTCTCTTTCCCGCCATGAGCCACTAACCCCTGATTCCAACTGCCAGAATGGCTCTCCTGTCGCTAGTCCAAACCATGAGAGGGCAGCAAAGAGGCAGCGGGGCAGTGGTACTGAATTCTTAGATTCTGAGTCTGAGTTTTCCCTTCCACGCCACATCTTCGAGTCAAGCTCAGGCTCAGAGTTCCAACAATACTCAATGTCCTACTCAGGACAGTAGCTTGTGATGCTCACATAATTGCTGTATCGTTGCTAGCTTGTTCAGCACGATGGGTAGGCTGATGTCTCAAGGAGTGTGTTGTTGGTAGACAAAGCTGTAGGTGTTCAGTGATTGTTTACATGGTATACGTGACAGCTATTTACGTTCCTAGGTTTGTAACATGTGTGTCCGTCTGCAGTTCAGTTGAGATGCTTGAAGGCTAAGGTTCTGTTGTGTGTGACCTGTAGACACGAGGCTGTCAGCTTGTATTCTCTTGGGTAATCTGTGTCAGCAGAGCGTTAGCATTAAGTCAGTTAATTGAACAGTGCTGTTATCTGTAACGTCTGAGTTTGATCAGAAACTGCAGTTAATTGAGGAAGACATAAACAGTGATGTGCTGATCCCAATTGGATGCCTGTGTTTAGATTCTCTTCATTTATGTGGATATGTGGAAGTGCAACAACTGTACTGCAATTTGTATATGATCATTGCATTGTAGCACCCGGTTTTTAAGGACAAAATCAGATACACACTATATGTGAGCCCAGAAAATCAAATCTCACATATAGTTATAAATAAAGTTAATATCAATAGACAATGCTTAATATATAGCATACTTAATATAAATGATATAACCTTAGACAACAAACAGCAGAAATATAACTTTGATTTTCGGGTGAAGACTCTAATTCCACATGACAACTGATTAGTTGATCACAAACCTAATCCCTTTAAACTCTAGCAATCTGGTACCCATCCGGGATTTTTCCAAATATTTAAAAAATAAAGCAAGCGTAAGTACATGTTGTATTCAATAAATATAACATGGGGTTCATGAGGCTCAAAAAGCTGACACTGGTTTAACTGCAGTTAGCTTTTAATGCGTCATCTTTTAGCAATTGGGTAGCAACAAGTTTATTCACAAGCCCATATAAATACATGATCAGGTAAACATGAATAATGAACAGCATAAACAATAATCATTAGTGTGCATCTTTATCATCGGTATCATCCATGTTCTTCATCTATTCCGTAAGGGTCTAAGGCCGCTCGTGACCGTGAGCACGGCTGATATACCAGTTTTACACTCTGTAGACGTGGTACACTTTCACTGTGAGTCGTGATTTACCCTTTCGCCCGAAGCGGTCAACCTCTTGACCTACTACCAAGAAAGGTCGCAGGATTCACTATGAAACCTTTCAAAGGTTCGTCTAACAAGTTAGGGCCGCTAAGGTTTCTCCATCAATAAACATGAACCCTCCTGTTGGAGCCCCACTTGTGCCATAAATGTAACCACTAACAAGCTAGAAAAGGTCCTCATACTGAGCTAAAACCAGAGCCATGTAGCCCTCACACCTGTACTGTAAGTCTCGGATGTTCGCTTACAGATAAGTCCTTAGAGAGAGGAATATAGAGCACCATAAATAGCCCAATGCTCTAGCCCCTTTGTTTCATGTTGCTAAAAACATCTTTTAATGTTTATTGCATATACCATTAGTCAAGTTGCAAGATATCAAATAGCTAGGAAAATTACTACGGTTGCCAAGGTAGACACATGCATATGATTAAAATGATATTAAGGTAAATAGGACAACAAGAAAGATCCCATGCTATATTTGCCTTAAAACACCGATCCTTCAGTAAGCTTTAATCTTCAACGTCCTTCTTCTTCTTCTTCTTCTTCTTCTTCTTGATCACCACGTATATATCACCGACTGGACGTAATCATAGAACACCACACAAACACCCATACACATACATGCATAGCATACAATTACATCTACATTAGAACAGTACATCAATCATAGAAAAATAATTAAAAGAGTTTGAAACACGATTCTACGCATCGCTACGAACACACAGTCGCGAGAGGCACGCAAATCGAAGCTACGGTGAACAAGGTACAACTACCGATAGATTTGCTTTTATTCGAGAATAAGGAAAACTACATACTCCATTTATTTTAATTATAAAACGTATATAAGATACTTCAGAGAATTATCGAAATTGTATTAAGTCAAATTTAGATTCAAATCTAAAAATCAGAGTAGAATAAATCATATTTTATTTATAAATATAGTTGCATAGTTATTAATCAAGTTAGGATTTAAAACATGAAATTCTAGAACTCTTGATATGAAAAACATTAATACTAGTGCATAGATTACGTCGTTACGAATCTAACGCAACTTGAATGGGTCAAATCAGAGTTAAAACGAAGAAACTACGCATAACATAAGATCAGTGGCAATTCTATAAATATTTGGAATCAATTTCGTATTAAAAGCTGAATTTAAAATGCCTAATGGACCTGGCCTCATTTTTGGAAAAACATATGGACCAAAACAGATAAATCAAGGGCATATTTTGAATTATTTCTGAAAGGAAGTGGACGGCAGGTTAATTTCATAGAAACTCGGGTCTCTTTAGAAAAAAGTCCGCAACTATCGACACTGACCATGTCGACGCTGACGTGGCACCACATAGCAGCTAGGTGGATTGGCGGGCTCACGGTGAACTACTTGCGTGGCCTGCTGACTAGGTTGGTGGACTCGGTCTTTACTATTCTTGTGGACCGGATCGAAGGGGTACGACTCGTTCTAATCGTGGCCGTTGACGATGGATCGAACGACCGAGGGGATTTGGGGAGGAAGAGGTTGTCGGGGCGGCAGTATCCGCAGCGGTAGCCATTGCCGATGGCGAGGAAGGTCGCCGGGGTTCACGGATCTACCTAACCAGAGCATCTTGCGCAATACCGAGAGCACAGGGAGATAGAGCGGGCAACGGGGAGCACGCTCAGGGGGTCGCTGAGGGCGGCTAACGCGCAAAGGCGGTCAAGTGCTCAAGATGGCGGCTCGGCTACGGCGACACAACTTCGACGAACATGCGTGCTCAATCAGAGAGTAAGAGGGTGAGGGAGATTGATACCAGCATGATCCTTACCTCGACGCGAAGCTCGGCAGACGACGAATTGACAACGGCGAGCACCGAGACGGTAGCACAGGGACAGCGGGCGACGGGGCTGGATCTCCGGTCTCAGCGAGATCCAAAAGTGGCGGTGGCTGGTGCTAGGCGAAACTAGGGTTAGGGAATAGGGGTTGCGGCGCGTGCGCGACCGCTATTTATGAGGCTGGGCTGCTTGAGGCGCACGCCAAGGCGAAGAGATAGGGTCGCGGCAGATTCCTTCGACGGCGTTGGAGTACGGCGCGACGACGACTCGAGGTAGGAGAAGCCGATGATAAGTGGGCCCGGGATGTCAGGGACAAAGAAGGAGAAGAGGGCACCGGTGCCGGCGGCTGAGCGGGCCGAGCGCGCGGGGAGAGGGCAGAGCAGCTGCTGTAGCGGGCCTGGTGCGGTGGGCCGACAGGCGAGAGAGGGAAAACGGCAACCAGGCCGACCGACGATGTGTGCCTTGTCATTTTTATTCTTCTTGTGAAAATCCTTCTTCTTGTATGGCTTGTTTTTCTTCTTCTCATCATTATCTTCATCACTTGAGTCATCTTTCTTGCCCTTGTACTTCTTGTACTTGCCTTTCTTGGGCTTGGGGCATTGATGAGCTAGATGACCAAGTTCTCCACAATTGTAGCAATCCATCTCCGAGATTGGCTTCCTTCTATTGCCAGTGAAGAACTTCTTTTTCTTGCCATCAAACTTGACACCGTTCTTGTTGAGCTTCTTTAGCATCTTGGCGGTTCTTCTCACCATGAGAGCATGATTTGCATCATCAATTTCATCATCACTTGAGCTCTAATACTCAACTCTTGCTTTGCCCTTCTCTTGGCTAGCCTTGAATGCCAAGTCTTTGTCTTTCTTCTTGGTAGAAGAAGAGCCATCTTGTGGTGTGATGTGCATATACATCTCATGAATGTTGATCTTTCCCAAGATTTGAGTTGGTGTAGCGGTGGAAAGATCACCTTGATGAAGCACGGTCACAATGTGTCCATATTTGTCAATGGGGAGGACACTCAAGATCTTTCTTACAACATCGGATGGTTGCATTTGTGTTAGTCCAAGCCCATTAACTTTCTCTACAAGAACATTTAAACGTGAGTACATTTCATTAGCACTTTCTTTCGGAAGCATCTCAAGGAATTAAGATTTTTCATGACAAGATGATAGCGTTCCTCACGCTCGCTCTTTGTTCCCTCATGGAGCGCACAAATGTCCGACCATAGTGCATGGGCGTCCTTGTGGTTCCGCACACAGTTAAACACATCTTTGCAAAGGCCTCTAAAGATGGTGTTTCTAGCCTTTGCATTCCATTTCTCATCGCCATGAAGATGTGCGGGATCCCTAGGTTTTGGGAAGCCTTGAGAGGTGGCTCTAAGAATTCCAACATCTAGAGCTTCTAAGTATGCCTCCATGCGGATTTTCCAATAAGAAAAAGCATCTCCCTCAAAGATAGGAGGACCATCCCCGTGGGACATCTTACACTAGGCAGTTAAGCCTAAATATGTGAGCACGAGGCTCCGATACCAATTGAAAGGATCAAGATGTCCAATAGGGGGGGTGAATTGGGCTAATTCTAAAATTCTATGCAATAATTAAACCCTACACTTAGCCCACTTCACCCCTTGTGCCTAGAATGTGATTCTAATGATCTACTGCACAAAAGTCTAGCACCCTAAGTTCTAATCCTACACTAGCATGGAAATTCTAAGAATGTAAAAACAATAATTGAATTGCTCAAAAGTAAATGCTCAAGGTAAAGAGAGGAGAAGGAATGCGGTGATGTTTTGCCGAGGTATCGAAGAGTCGCCACTCCCCACTAGTCCTCATTGGAGCACCCGCGCAAGGGTGTAGCTCCCCTTTGATCCACACAAGGATCAAGTGCTCTCTACGGATTGATTCTTCGACACTACGTCATAGTGAATCATCCACAACCGCTCACACCTTGAGTTGGGTCATCCACAAGCTCCACCGGATGATCACCAAACTCCCGATCACCACCAAGCTGTCTAGGCGATGGTGATCACCAAGAGTAACAAGCACGAACTCTCACTTGACCACAACAAGCCTAA